GTATGTGCTTGGCTTTGCAGTACAATTTGGGGGAATCAGGTGTACAGAGAGCATACAGGCTACCTGAGCGCCAGGGATAAACCATCAATGCCTTGGGCTAAGAAATAATACATCCCATTATGTTATTCGTGTGTGTGTCCTGGATTGTGATGTACATGCTACAAACGACAAGCTAAGTCATTATGCTTCTATTTCAAACTGTATGGCCATCTGTCCTACAAATGTTACATTCATCCTTTATTTTAACCATCACTGCACATATAGTAATGCCAGGTCCCTCTAGTTTTAACCCTGCAGCTGAAAACATAGTTTCAGAGAAACTGCTGTTTCACTGAGAGTTAATCCAACCTCTAGTGGCTGTAACCCTGTGCTGTTGCATAGGCAACCTTCGGCACTCCAGATGTTTTGGACTGCACATCCCATGATACTTTGTCAGCATTATGGGTATGTAGTACACATCATCTGGATTGCCGAAGGTTGCCTATTCCTGCACTAGAGGAACTTCCACGGCATTGAGTAAAACATTCAGTGCGGCGAAAGTACATAGGAAAGCAGTGAGTTCTGCAAACGCCATAAAGAGCCCCACCTCCTCGATAACGATGTAAAGCAGAGAAGTGAGCAGCCCCAAGGTACTATCAGCACAACAAACAAAAAAAACGAACATTTTTATTAATTTTCTAATATTTTTTAAATGGTTTATGTTGGATGAAAGCCCCTGAGGGCTGGCATTGCCTGGCTGATGCCCTGGACGGGGGCTGGCAGTGCCTGGCTGATGCCCTGGATGGGGGCTGGCAGTGCCTGGCTGATGCCCTGGATGGGGGCTGGCAGTGCCTGGCTGATGCCCTGGATGGGGGGCTGGCAGTGCCTGGCTGATGCCCTGGATGGGGGGCTGGGCATGTGCAGTGCCTGGCTGATGCCCTGGATGGGGGCTGATGCCCTGATGGGGCTGGCATTGCCTGGCTGATGCCCTGGACGGGGGCTGGCAGTGCCTGGCTGATGCCCTGGATGGGGGGCTGGCAGTGCCTGGCTGATGCCCTGGATGGGGGGCTGGCAGTGCCTGGCTGATGCCCTGGATGGGGGGCTGGCAGTGCCTGGCTGATGCCCTGGACGGGGGCTGGCAGTGCCTGGCTGATGCCCTGGACGGGGGCTGGCATTGCCTGGCTGATGCCCTGGATGGGGGCTGCATTGCCTGGCTGATGCCCTGGATGGGGTTATATTAGCAGCCCTGCTCAGACAGGCCCTGGTTGCTGGATTGGGGGCGGCCAGGGTCTCTCAGTGCTGCTGGTGTGGCCGTACACTCTCCCTGAATGAAGAGCCATGACAGGGAGTCTCCCTCCGCCCTCCTCCCCCCCGCGGCCTGGAGACACACAGACTCGGCCCCCCGCTCCGCCAGGCCGCTGCCATATTGAATAGGGCCGGAGGGCGGAGACCCAGCGGGCCCGAGTCCCCCGCTCCCCTCACACAATAAGAGACCCGGGGCTCCGGGAGGGCGGCGAGCCTCCCCAGAGGCCTCCTGCCTTACCTTAATGATCCTGCGGGGCAGCCCGGCCATCCTGTCTTATAGAAAAATGCAGCCTCGGACTCTCTGCGTGCCACCGGATCCTCCTGTCACGCACAAGTGAAAGCGCGGGATCCGCTTCCGCTGACGTCACTACGGCGCGCAAAGCGCTTCTGGGAGCTGTAGTCCGAACGTGAAGTGACGGGTAGAGGGGGGAGAGAGTGTACGCGCGAGCTCCAATGCGCGATGATGTCATCAGACGCACGGCCAGCCAATGGCTGCGTGATTGCATGTCAGGTGCAGTGTTGCTATTGGCTGACACTGGAACAACACGTGGTGGGACTCACTCAGCTGGCAATTGCCCTGAATTACAACCTGATTGGCCAAAATTGGGCTGATTAATAATAAAATAAAAAAATAATTCTGCAAACCAGCTATAGTTTCAGTCCAGCTTTTTTTAGCCTAAATGTTAATTTTTATTTTGCATTCCCAACACTTTGTACTTGCCAAGCGGGACTGCGAATTAGTCACCCACTGTACCCGTGTATCACATGTTTTGTTAGAATTAAATGTTTGTCCTGTTAACCTAGTATTATTTTTGGAATTTATGTAGCGCCAACATATTTCACAGCACTTTACACTATTGTACAGTGGTGTATTTTGGTTTTGTGCTGCCCTAGGCATGACTAAATTCAGGCACCTCCCTAATCTAAATTTACTCCACACCTTCCTGTTTAAGACCAACATACACTGTGACTGACAGACACACCCTCATTGATACATACACTCACTGACAATTACATAGTCGTTGGCACACACACTATTTAGCTAACACACACACACAGACATACACTCACTGACAGACACACACACTATTTAGTCAACACACACACAGTCATACACTCAATGACAGACACATACATTCACTGACAGCTACACACACACTATTTAACCAACTCACACAGTCATACACTCAATTACAGACACACATTCACTGACAGCTACACACAAATTTACCTTTGGGAGAGCTAGAGCAGATTCTTTCCCTGGTGGCTGCTGGGCGGAATGTAGGCTGCAAGGGATCTTTAATTTTCTTGCTCTGCTCCCTTGCAAGCTGCTTAGTGATGTCAGGGCCGGAGAGGGAGCTATAATCTTCATTCTCGGTTCCCTTGTGCACCACTTAGGGATTCCGGCTCCTGGCATAAGAACAGGTTGTGCAAGGGAGCCAAGCAAGAACAGCACAGAGATGAACTCTCCCATGCTGTCCGGCTACAGCATGTGCAGCCACCCCCCTTGGGGGGCTCTAAGGTGCCCAGTCAGCTCTCGGCCCCCTCATGACACGAGGCTAAGAAGGGACCTTTTTCTGCAGGCCCACTGGAAAGTGCCACCCAAGGCAAATGCCTAGTTAGTCTTGCGGTAAATACAGCACTTGTTGGCCATGTATAAATATTTGTCATTGTGTACCAAGTGAAAAAATCCAATATGGCAAAATGAATGAAACTGTGACTGAGTTGAAGAGTTTTGCAGCATCAGCCATTTTTGTATAAGTTTAGCAAAACCAAAACTACTTTGATTGAAGCCTACAAAAGGATGTGTGACGCAATAAGTGCACTCTATTGGTTCTGCCAATCAGGTGACAGAGCTGGTCTTTTTATTATTATGTTTACTTATCCAGAATAATTAAATTATAAATCAGGCAGTAGAGAAAGCTTACAGAGCAAAGGAGTAATGAAACAATTAGTGCTATGTTTAAAAAATAAAATAAAAATTCTAAACTACTGAAAGTGAAGTAATCAACATGAAACCATTGGAAACAGCAGACACATGCCATTGGTGACTCTTCCCCTTTTACATTCTCTGCACCACGTCTTAGTACAGAACAATTTGAAGAATCAACCCGATTGTTTTTATTTGTAATGTGTGCCTGTACTGAACTGTTAGCAATAATTTGCCAAACCATTAATATATATTTAAAAGAAAACTGAGCATATAAAAAAAGGTAACTAATGTATAGTTCAGTCTCAAATTGTATTCAATAATGTAATTTCTAGAAAAAAATAGCTCAATTTTAACCCTAATTTTATTAACTAACCCTCTGAAGTTAAAAAATTAAGAATAAAGCAGTCAAGTTGCAGAACTGTAGCTGATTTTTTTCCCCTTCAAATTAGCTATTTTTTTGCTATTCATTACAATTTAAGGTTTAAGGAGTAAACCCGTTTGTGAATGATTTTTTGACAGGTTCACTTTTTTCTGTACATGTACCACTTACACATACTGCCGGGTAACGCTTGAAAAGTGCTGTACATTCCATATGTTAAAGTAATAAAATATGAAAGTGGATTGCCACTTTCGGGAGTTTTGGCATATTTTGCAAAGACCCTGAAGGAGACACCTCCACTTATGGTGTGGTGAAATATAGTTATATTTACATGACGCTCTCTATCGTAGCTGCTGAAAGGTAATTGAGAGCCTCAATGTCTTGTCGTGGGTGAAACAATGCCTAATTCCCTAAGCTGTCACTTGCAACAGCTGCTGAGACTTGACAAAAGTTGGCAGTGAAGCTAGGCCTTTTGTCAACCTCAGGCTTGTTCATAGCAAGCAGACCTTATTTTGTCTCGTGATTTCTTAGAATTGTGCTGGAATTTCTATGAAATTTCAATGCACGTCAAAATGTGTATTTCATCAAATATATCAGTTAACTCATTAACGTGAGAATTGCTAGAAATTCAATGTGAATTCCAAATGAAAAGACACAATAGCCAAACTAAAAATGGAACTGAATAATTTTTTGGGGTATATTGGTTATTTAGGCACTCGTATATTGTAGACCACAACCATACACAATATTTGCATTAGGCATGATCACCATATACTTTTACCCCACACCTCCCGTGATCTGAGGAGGTCTTCATTATACTGCCGGATGGTTAAACAGAGGAATAAGATGGAAAACTTACACATATCTCGAGTTGTGCACAGGATGACTACCCCTGTGCAATTAAAATGCACAGCCCTTCATACTTTGCTCCGTCACATTCCTTGCCATGACCTACTGAAGTAACTCATGGTGTTGGGCATGTGGCAATGGCTTAACTGGAAGTTGATGACAAACTTTTCTGGATGGAGGGTTATATTGTGCTTGCTGTTACTGCCACATGGAGGCAGGCTGAAAATGGTGTCAAGATACATTACATGGTTACCAATTCTTCCACAGCAAGCGGATACTTTCATGGTTTTTACATTAAAAATATTAACTTGGCAGGAATTCCCCAGGGAATCTACACTTTTATTCCAAATACGCAAAACTGGAGGAAAAAAAACAAAAGTCCAAATCATCTGCATTTCCAGGTCCTCTAAATTTGGCAAATCTTGAAGACCATGCACTTTTCCACACAATTCATAGCTTAGTAAATAACTCTGCATAGGTTTGTACACAGTTATGACATTACTTTCTCAATCAGGCACTCCGATACCATAAAGGACGCTTCCTTTATCTAATTTGGGCAGACACAATACAGGAAGCTTACAAATGGGCAGAATTTTTGAATTAATGATATACTGGATTCTTAAAGGATTGTTCCTCATAGTACTTTACATAATTTAGCAATGAATTTGCAAACAAACAAAATGAGATTATGGTTGTCTGAAGGATTGCTATGCCTTTCAACCATTTACCGGGGTTATATGCTAATCTTTTTGAGGATAAAACCTTATGAACACCATTATAGTTCAAGGCTTGTGATAATTGGCTTAGTTTGGCCCTCTTTTTCTAGTACACTGCACAAAATTATAAACGCAACACCTTTGTTTTTGCCCCTATTTTTCATGTGTCGAACTCAAAGATTTAAAATACTTTTTCTATGTACACAAAAGGCCTATTTCTCTCAAATATTGTTCACAAATCTGTCTAAATCTGTGTTAGTGAGCACTTCTCCTTTGCCGAGATAATCCATCCATCTCACAGGTGTGGCATATCAAGATGCTGATTAGACAACATGATTATTGCATAGGTGTGCCTTAGGCTGGCCACAATAAAAGGCCACTCTAAAATGTGCAGTTTTATCACACAGCACAATGCCACAGATGTCACAAGTTGAGGAAGCGTGCAATTGGCATGCTGACTGCAGGAATGTCAATCAGCTGTTGCACGCGAATTGAATGTTCATTTCACTACCAGAAGCAGTTTCCGAGAATTTGGCAGTACATCCAACTGGCCTCACAACCGCAGACCAAGAGTAACTACACCAGCCCAGGACCTCCACAATCGTCTGAGACCAGCCACCCGGACACCAGCTGCAACAATCGGTTTGCCTAACCAAAGAATTTCTGCACAAACTGTCAGAAACCGTCTCAGGGGAGCTCATCTGCATGCTCGTCGTCCTCATCAGGGTCTCAACCCGACTGCATTTCGTCGTCATAACCGACGTGAGTAGGCAAATTCTCACATTCGATGGGGTCTGGCACTTTGGAGAGGTGTTCTCTTCACTGTATAGGGCAGATCGTGTATATGGCATTGTGTGGGTGAGCGGTTTCCTGATGTCAACGTTGTGGATAGAGTGGCCCATAGTGGCGGTGGGGTTATCATATGGGCAGGTGTACGTTATGGACAAACAGTTGCATTTTATTGATGACATTTTGAATGCACAGAGATACCGTGATAAGATCCTGAAGCCCATTCTTGTGCCCTTCATCCACGACCATCACCTCATGTTGCAGCATGATCATGCACGGCCTCATGTTCAAAAGGATCTGTACACAATTCATGGGAAGCTGAAAACATCACAGTTATTGTATGGCCAGCATACTCACCGGATATGTCAACCATTGAGCAGGTTTGGGATGCTCTAGATCGGTGTATACGACAATGTGTTCCAACTCCTGCCAATTTCCAGCACCTTCGCACAACCATTGAAGGAGTGGACTAACATTCCACAGGCCACAATCAGCAACCTGATCAACTCTATGCGAAGGAGATGTGTTGCACCGCGTGAGGCAAATGGTGGTCACACCAGATACGGACTGGTTTTCGGACCAGTCACCCAGTACAGTAAAACTGCACATTTTAGAGTGGCCTTTTGTTGTGGCCAGCCTAAGGCACACCTGTGCAATAATCATGCTGTCTTATCAGCTTCTTGATATGCCACACATGTGAGGGGGATGGATTTTCTCAGCAAAGGAGAAGTGCTCACTAAGATTTATGAATATTTGAGAGAAATAGGCCTTGTGTACATAGAAAGTCTTAGATCTTTGAGTTCAGCTCATGAAAAATGGGGGCAAAAACAAGTGTTGCGTTTATAATTTTGTGCAGTGTACATTTTCTATTCTGTGTTTTACTGAGCAACTGCTGCAAAAAAAAAAAAAGCTCACTAGCACTGAGGTTCAAGTTCTCCCTGTACCCAGATTCTCCTCCTGAGATCGCTGAGGGAGGACATACTGTAGAGAATAACGTTGCCTGAGGTACACCTCCAGCAGCAGAGAGGTGAAACTTTGTATGTGCAGCATACATACAGACTACAGGCACCATGACCACTATAAATCACTCAAGTGGTCATGATGCTTGCTGGTAACCCTTTAATGACAAAAGTGCAGGATTGGATATCTAATTTTTCAATTAAACACTTCGTTGCATATCATTTTTTTCAAGTTAACCATGAACACAAATGCATGTAAGATTGGCCACAAGAGATATATACACAAACATTTTATTAGTTTGATTACTTTTCCAAATTTGGTTAGTCCTCCGATCAAACAGAAAGAGAACATGGTATATGGCAGTAATGAAGAGAGACACAACTGAACAACATAAGATACCAAAACATGCTAAAGTCATCGGTCTTTAGGGGGATCTGTCTTCATGCGTCTTCTATGATACCTGTAAAATTAAACAGAAATCATGTACAATGTATTCCTGCAATTAGGATAAATAAGAACAAAACGGTTTAGCTCATTTTAGTTTTTAAACATATCAGTTCCGATCACCATAACAAGTACATAACCCCCACCCACACAGTGTAAGTAATCAAACTAGTTTTGAATTCATTGAATTTAATTTTTTATTTTAATTTTCAACCTGAGGTCTGCAGGGCTCTGCTCCCCACCTCCACTACTAAATGCAGGGCTTAGCAACTTCCAGGTCTCCAGTGTTAATATCTTGCAACCCGCAGCCACCATACCCCAAGTGGAGATTTCTAGCGCAGCAGGAACAAATAGGAGACAGGCATTATAGAAGGGGACATGTCTACTCTCCCTAACAATGGAAATTATTGAACTAAGAGGGGTAAATGGTGGCAAAATTAAAAAAAAAGGGAAAAAAAAAAAAGGGAAAAAAAAAAGAAAAAACCCATCAAGCAAGCCTCTACCAAAATGAGTAAAACAAGTAATGGGCATCCATATAAAACATTTTAAAATAGATTTTACGCTACTTTACTTGCTGAATGCCCTATTAACTGTGCAAACAAGTTTCCTATATTTTCAGCTGTGAGTGGTCAATACAATGGCTTCTTTTCCAGATGCAGTAAGAGGCTGGGTTAGAAACATAGAATGTGACGGCAGATAACCATTCGGCCCATCTAGTCTGCCCAATTTTCTAAATACTTTCATTAGTCCCTGGGCTTATCTTATAGTTAGGATAGCCTTATGCCTATCCCACGCATGCTTAAACTCTCAAACTGTGTTAACCTCTACCACTTCAGCTGGAAGGCTATTCCATGCATCCACTACCCTCTCAGTAAAGTAATACTTCCTGATAGTCTTAAATTAGAGGGGCAAAGGTTTAAAAATATGTCCTCTTGTTGTTTTATTTGAAACGCATAGTAAAAAGGAAGAAAAAACCCCACAAACCACAAAAACAGTTATGATCTCTCATAAATGTTTTAGGTAAAATATAATGTATCTACTAACCTGGCGAATGTGCAGAATTGACATTGGAATTGCACGTCTTAGATTAAAATAGATCAATTTGAAATATCCAGCTAATTGGTTTTTTACATGTCAAATTCTCTTAACACGTTTGAAAGACTGAACTGAAGATTTCATGCTTTAAAGTTGTTGAATGATGATACCTGCTACATTTTTTTATTGTGCTTGGGTGTTTATCATTTTAATGGAGATGGTTTTCAATTTACACTATAGATTTAACGTATTGTGTGCAAATTGTTGCTAAGGAGTTGAGGTAACGCCCAAGGCAAGTTTCCCTTTCTGACTGTGTACTCTGTATCCGGATACAAACTGCAGCAAAGTGAATGTGATTAAGCCCACTTTGTCTTTTGGATAACACACAAAGCAAAAATATGATCTTGGAGTGTGGTATAGCACAATACCAAAAGGCAAAATAGTTTAACCTAGTGCAGCTACTATACAGCTACTGTAGCCCCAACAGCAAGCAAAATATAGCAGTTCAAAGTATTCATCCACAAAGTGCGGCTTAGTTATAGGGGCCCACTAGTGCAGCCCATATTTATTTAAAGGGCATCCAAAGTACAGACGTTTCTGTAGGGCATTTATCTTTGATAAAGGGACAGGGGTCCCGAAACATCTATACTTTGAATAAATTTGGGCTACACTTGTGGGTAAATACTTTCGATGTATAAAACACATATGATGATTATACAAGTTGTCTATGGTGTAATACCACATGACATTTGATAAAGTGAATCAAAGTCTGAATATGAAGTGAAGACACTACTCGGTCAGTTTCACATTTTAAATTTATGTATATTTATTAAAAGGGTTCATTCAGGCATCATAAGCACCACAACCAGCTGCAGTAGTTTTGATTCTAGGAGTACTATGGTGCCATTCCTAGGCAATGCAGCGAAACGCTTTGCCTCTGAGCAGGATCCCACTATGTGCCAAGATTACTTAAGAGCTGGAGGAAACGCATCCTGTCAGTCATTCATTGACTGGCAGGATGCATCCTTGCACCACGATCACTTCAAAACAAATGCCAAGGAAAAGTGTACTAAATGGGATAAATGGAAGCATCAATATACTTTGCCTTTTAACATTATATCATTTGTTAACAGATACTTAGCACAATGAGAAATGCCTTCAATACATTATGCTGATAGTCATGACAATTATTGTAATATACTGAAACAAAAATGTTAAAGCAACAGTCTACTTACTGTCCAACAGGATACCAGCGGTGTTTGGTTGTGTAAAACATTTTACTGAGCTGTTCTATTGTTGGTGCAGGACTGGGATCAGCCTCTCGTAACCTGGCTTTGAGCACTTGCTCATGTGTTTCTTCATGGCAGTGTAAAGGATCCTGTACAGGAATGGGCTGAACAAACAATTTGGTCGTTAAAGGACTGATTTATCTACTGGGATGCAATGCACACTAGGAAATTAGGGTCGCAAGCCGCGTCAATAGGAACCGTAGGATCTACTAATTTGACGTGGTTTATTACATAGAGTTATGTTAATCTATTTAAAGTATGGCAACGACATCCAGTAACACTATGTAAAACAAAACTTTAAATATCTTTTGCATGGGATGACATGTTTATTTGTAAGCGCTGGGCAAATGAGAAAAATCACATTTTCTATTATTTTTGAGTCAAGGAAGAGTTACATTTCAATTAAAGTTTTAGTAAAAAAAATAAACAAATAAGCACTCAAAATGGTGGCAGCTGACAGTAATATTTATAAGAGATATGTCCTCTTATGTTCTAGTGAATCTCTGAATGTAAACACTGTCTACTTTAAGAGAGAGAGTTAGGGATATAACATTTTCCTATCCATATATATCACATGATCAAAGAATGCTAGGACGATTTCAGGCTTTGGGTTGGCCTACTGCCTCTGCTTATTTATCTATAAAAGTAAAACTATTAACACCTTTCTGTTTGCATTGTGGTATATGCTAGGCGCAGTGGTAGGTAACATTTGGCACTCCAGATATTGTGGACTACATCCCCCATAATGCTCTTGCACCCATAATGCTGGCAAAGCATTATGGGAGGTGTAGTCCAAAGCATCTGGAGCGCCGAAGGTTGCCTATGCCTGCTAGGGTTCCGTTCTCAAGGCACACCAAAAGGGTTATTCACTAAAGTGAGACCTGCCAGAGGTTCAAAGTGAATTCCAAATTGAATGCCAAAAGTAGTTGTCCTGGAAACTTACCCAACTTGGAGATATTTTCTAATCTGGCAATTTTCCAAGAATTCTCACTTCAGTGAATAACCCTGCAGCAGTCCAGGATCTCAGCATTACCCAATTCTGTTCCAAGGAGGATATGGACATTACCTAGAAAGTTTTTTGGGGGTGTGCAAGTTTTTTTTTTTTTTTTTTTTAAATTAACCCCTTAAGGACACAGCTTCAGAAGCAGGACATACCCTTAACGACACAAGCAATTTTGCATTTTTTGCTGTTTGTGTTCAACTGCAATTTGCATCTCTCCTATTTAGCTTGTATCAAATTTAGTGGTAATAAGCATTTTTTTCTGCTTTTTTGACACACAGTTAGTTTGTACTGTATATTTTGCAAACCTTATTTGTGCTACGGCTTTATAATACTTTATATGTTGCTCAGTTATGTTGTCTGAGTACAGCAATACCCCCGTATGTACCTTTGCCAGGTATATGTGGACGTTGAAGGGGCACATTTCAGACATTGCCATTGCAGGTTTTTTCATACTTTGAATCTTTACGCTGTGTTGTTACCCCCACTACATATTCCAACTATCCCATAAAAGCATACTATTTCTTAAAGAAGACATCCCAGGGTATTTCAAAAGACGTGTTTTGAACCTTTACCAGGTATATGACAACATTTGAGCCATTTAAGTTAGAATTTTTACGCTGGGTCCATGTTCGTTTTTTCTAACTTTTAAAAAGTTTTATTTCGCTTTTAACAACTTATTTTACTATTTTAAAACTTTGTTTAACCCCTTAAGGACACATGACATGTGTGACATGTCATGATTCCCTTTTATTCCAGAAGTTTGGTCCTTAAGGGGTTAAACTTTTCAACAGTTTTTTAAAATCTTTTTATTGTAATTTTAACCCCTAAATAGCCGAAACCGTAAATGCCCCAATTTCCCCACTAACTTCTACCCATCGTAGCTAAATAAATATTTTAAAATATTTAAATTAAATAAATGTAACCCCTCAGGATTAAAAAAAAAATAAATAAATAAAAAAGTTAACCCTCAGGGGTTAAAAAAATCAGATCACAGTGAAATACTGTGATCTGTATTTTGATCACAGCAGGCAGTGATCAAAAGGCAGCCGATCTGTCTCTCTGCAGTTCACACACGGAGCTGATCGCAGCATGTGTAATGGCTCTGAATCCCGGTCAGAGCGATCACATGGGCTGAATCAGTGAAACTGCTCATGGTAGTGTGCCTCCGATATGGAGAGACACTACAGGAAGATTAACCCCACGATTGCGGCAATCATGGGTTAATTTTAATTTTGGACGGAAATTTTCCATCCAGCGTCCTTAAGGGGTTGTAAAGGTTTTTTTGTTTTTATTTAATTAAGGGGGGGTGTGCAGGATTTTTTTTTTTTATTAAGGGGGGTGTGCAGGTTTTATTTTTTTTTTCATTAAGGGGGGCTGTGCAGGTTTTTTATTTTTATTAGGGGGGTGTGCAGGTTTTTTTTTTTTATTAAGGAGGGGTGTGCAGGTTTTGTTTTTTTATTAAGGGGGGGTGTGCAGGTTTTATTTTTCTTTTCATTAAGGGGGGCTGTGCAGGTTTAGTTTTTTTTTATTAAGGGGGGTGTGCAGGTTTTTTTTTTATTAAGGGGGGTATGCAGGTTTTTTTTTTTTATAAAAAGGATCACTATAGGGTCAGGAACCCAACCATGTATTCCTGATCTTAGAGTGTGGCTAACTCACCTTATTTCCAGTGCTGCGCAGGCTCCGCCCCCTTTGTGACATTAAAATGGCAGCTTTTCAGCCAATCCAATGCTTTTCAATAGTGAAAGCTTTGGATTGGCTAAAATCGGCATGGGCTTTGGCAAATCAGAACCTCCTCATAGAGATGCATTGAATCAATGCAGCTCTATGAGAAAAATTCAGCGTCTCCAATGGCCCTGAGCCAGGAATCCCCTCCCTGCACACTATGCAGCCCTGAGCCAGAAAGCCCCTCCAGTGGCCATGTGAGGAATGGCCACTTGGAGGTGTCCCCTGGGGCAATGTAAACACTGTCTTTTCTCGGAAAAGGCAGTGTTTGCATGAAAATGCCTAAAGGGAGCCATTATACTCACCAGAACAACTACATGAAGCTGTAGTTGTTCTGGTGACTATAGTGTCCCTTTAAGGGAGTGTGTCTGCAGGGGTTTTATGTGTAGGGTGGGGGTGAATAATTTATATGTGTATGGGCTGTATGAACTTTATGTGATGGGGTATGAATTTGATGTGGGGGTGCACAATTTTTATGTGCAATAAATATTCTTGAAAACAAGAAAAAAAAATTGTGGGTGTTTTTTTTACATTTTTAGGGAAGAGGAGGGGGTGCTAACACAGGGTCTGCCCCTGAACCTATGCACAGAGAGGAATAACTAGATTCACAACTAAAGTTACATTAACATGACTAAGAAGAAATCACTTATACTTGCTTCACTCCTTTACAATTTTACCACTCTCTTAAAATCTCTCATGATTCTGGTAATATTATTTGCACTGATTTGCAAAAACAAAATGGAGCAATTATAAGCCTATACTATGTGGCATCACAGGTAGAAGTTCTGCTTTGAAATTGAAAACAATACATCAGCCGGGTCTCTCATAGGTTTATGACTGCAAATAACTTTTTCCTTTTCCTAACCTCAGAATGATAAGGAAATGTTCAAGAAGTACATGCATTCTAACCAATGAGATCTTTTTGCATGTGTGCTTACCTTTGTGTGTTCATATGGGATATCAACTGAGGGGTGGTAGCAGACTATAGTTTTTCCATCAGATGTCAAAGCAAGCTCAACTTTGCTAAAAAAAGAAATACATACATGCTATAGTTAAACGTAAAACTAGTTGCTCTTTTTAGCACAAAATTAAACAATGTGGATCTATGAATCAACATACACGGTAGATGTAGATCAACATACATTGAGGAGGAGCTGCAGTTATAGGGTTTTGTTTCTAATAAAAGAAAACTGTGAATGAAGTGAAATAAGCAGGTATTTTGCAAAACTTTAGCCCAAAACAGAAGAGTTAAATTGATACTATAGTGCCCTCTCTGTTCCACACTGCAGCTAAATGGTTAAAAAAAAAAAACTTAAGTCACTTACCAGATTCCAGCCGATGGAGCATGAGGACGTCCAGCGTCATTTAGGGGACCAATGTTTGCGATCATCCAGGAAATGCTTCTAGTGGCTGTCTCACTGACAGCCACTGAAGGCAGTCTTAGTTCTGCAAGCCAATTATTGTAGTTTCTCAAAAACTGCAATGACTTACATTTCAGGACTAAATGGGACAAGGACATTGCACCCAGACCACATCAATGAGATGAAATGGTCTGGGTGACTATAGTGTCCCTTTATTGTTTACATATAAATAAATATAACTCATGTGGATATCCACTTTTTATTTTTTTAAGGGGACGTTTTTGTATGTCGAAAAGTTATTTCAATAAAACTTTTGAATTGAAATAAAATAACACAACCAATAAGCTACCGCTTACTTAGTAATTTGGTTGTGCAAAAGTGGTAAGAGCTTGTCTTTTTACTTGAAGTACTGTTCGTGTAAACATGAAGAGACGCACAGATAGAGGGTTATTCACGAAAGTGTGAAATATCAAGAACTCAAAATGAACAACACATTTTAGGCTAATATACTCAAACTAAAAGCATAGCTGAAAAAACAAAATATATCTATGGATGGAACTCCACAGAAATCACCTTAATTGACACTCCAGCAGTGTCATATGGGGCTTAACCCCTTCTTAAGAGTATTCGAAAAAAATTCACAGATCTGAGGACACCCCTCAGATGTGTAAATAATGGCTGGAAAATGGAAATGAATGATAATATCAACGTAAATATATCTCAAAAGAATACTAATAGTGAATCAAAAAAACAATCAATATAAAAACCTCCACAGCTTGAATAGCTGTACCTCCCTGATATCTTTGTTAATAAGTGTCAAGATCAGACTGCCTGACTTTAATGTTATATTTGTAATGTCAATGTCTGAAATACATAAGGATACAAATAACATAGATAGCAATTCTAATTATACACAGCATTTGTATCAAAATGTCAAATATACGGCAGGGAAGCAACAAAATAATGCTGCTACCTCATTTTTTGAGTTATGCTGTGTTTGCTATAAATTCTATGGGGTAAAGAGACCCTGTGGAATACTAATCAGAAAGGCTTGTCATTCAAGTAGCTGTATGTGGGATTAATGTCCTTGGTCTAGGTACCCATCAAATACAGAATATTCAGTCCGAAAAAATTAAAGGGCTGATCGTGAACGCCTATGATATTAGGTATAAAAAACAGGTAGTTCAATAGCTCATAGTGTATAGACAGAATATGCAGGAGGAAGAAAAAATAAAGCAATTAAAATGGGCTAATGTGCAGGACCATACTTAGAGTGTTGGTCCTTGCACATGTGACAGTGTGCCCTGTGAAGTGAAGAAGAAAGAAGAAAACCCGACACGCGTTTCGGTGCCACTAGCGTGCACCTTCGTCAGGGGCTGAAAAGTACCTGTTTTTTATACCTAATATCATAGGCGTTCATGATCAGCCCTTTAATTTTTTCGGACTGAATATTCTGTATTTGATGGGTACCTAGACCAAGGACATTAATCCCACATACAGCTACATGAATGACAAGCCTTTCTGATTAGTATTCCACAGGGTCTCTTTACCCCATAGAATTTATAGCAAACACAGCATAACTCAAACAATGAGGTAGCAGCATTATTTTGTTGCTTCCCTGCCGTATATTTGACATTTTGATACAAATGCTGTGTATAATTAGAATTGCTATCTATGTTATTTGTATCCTTATGTATTTCAGACATTGACATTACAAATATAACATTAAAGTCAGGCAGTCTGATCTTGACACTTATTAACAAAGATATCAGGGAGGTACAGCTATTCAAGCTGTGGAGGTTTTTATATTGATTGTTTTTTTGATTCACTATTAGTATTCTTTTGAGATATATTTACGTTGATATCATTCATTTCCATTTTCCAGCCATTATTTACACATCTGAGGGGTGTCCTCAGATCTGTGAATTTTTTTCGAATAAAAGCATAGCTGACTTGCAGAACTTTTCCCATTCTGCTATTTTGATCTAAAATTCACTTTGAATTCCTGATAATTCACATTTCAGCTAATAACACTGCATATTTTTACTTTAATACTATCTGTGACAGCCAATCACATTTACAAAACTGATAAAATACTTGAAATAAAGATTAAATGGCACACACAGTCAGAAATGGATATGATTAAGCTAACTTCCATAATCTAACAAGTGACAGTGATATGGTTCATACCAATTGTAATCATCCGGAAGTGCTGAATATATTGTTTTGTGTCGATAACTGCATACAGTAACATCTGCAAAAGAAATATAAGTTAATAATGAGAAACATTTATAACAGACACACTGTACATGCAGCTTAATAAGAAACAAGTGTTAAACTCTAAAAAACAAAACAAAAAACTACAATGCCAGGAATATAAAGTTATTTTCCTATAGTGCTTCAACTGTCACACTTGCATTAGGACTTCCCCTATATGAAAGTATTATAAATGCTATGAGGTTTTGGGTGTTGCTGGATGTCACTTACCCAATTCCAGCGCCAATGTGTCTGATGGCAGCTGACTGGGGGGTGGGGCTAACACGCATGAAAAGCATTGATAGGAAAGCATTGATTTAATGCATAGTGTGAGGATGTCCAGTGTCAGGAGATCAAAAGTCGCCTAACTACCCAGTAATCCATCTGGTAGACAGCCACTAGAAGTGGAGTTAAGCCTAGCAAGTAATTCTTGCAGTTTATCAAAAACTGCAATAATTACCACTGCAGGGATAAAGTACCTGGGACACTGCACTTACACTAGTTCAATGACCTGAAGTGATCTGGGTGCCTGTAGTGTCCCTTTAAGAAACAGTATAAGGAATACTACAACAAGAAGACGTTTCTATGCTCCAGTGAGATTTTTATTTTTGAGTGGCATGCGTACTGTAAGCCATTTCTTTACAAACAGGGCACATCAAGCACATTAATAAGTGCTGAAAAAGTGAATTTGTAACACTTCCAGTGTGTATAAAAAGCAGAAACCACTTGAAACTAGATTTATTTAAAAAAAATAAAAATTAACACCATTCGTAACCCTGAGCTTCATTGGGTGGTTGGGGACAATTCTTGTGTCTGTACATTTTACATTGCTGCCTAGTAACATCTCTAGAGGCAGTCACTCAACTGGCAACTAAAGAGGCTTCCAATCACAGTGCTGCACTGTGCACGTTCAGCGTCTCCTATCTCAGTGCAGCTCTGCACTGAGACACTGAATACTCCCCATAGAGATGAATTGATTCAAAGCATCACTATGAGGAGATGAAAAGAATTTGATTGGATGAGATCATCAAGATTAAAGATCTCAATCATGGAGGTGGGGCCAGTTGCAGCGAGCGAGAAAATGTTAGTGAAACTACCTTGTTACTGTAATCTGTGGGACAAACAATTAAACAGACACTCTAGGACTATAGTGTTAGGAATAAAAGGTTTGTATTCCCAACACTAGTAGTGTTCCTTTAACCCCCTGCTGCAAGTTTAACTCCACCTCCAGCATCATCCACATTGGGACATCATTCTTTGCAAATTTGGCTTCGCCTCCAGCACCCAATGGCATTACGAATCCTTCCTCATGCCCTTTGCTCAATGACAGCAATAAAGGAAGAACTTGGCCAGGCGTTGGAATGAAGGAAAGTTTTAGCATTTTTCATTAGCAGTGGCTTCTTAAAAGGGTTAAAGTGTCCATTTAAAGGATCACAAATCGGTTTTCCTGACACTATAGTACCCTGAGTGTGCCCCCACCCTCAGGGTCCCCCTCCTGTGGTGCTGAAGGAGTTAAAACCCCTTCAGTTACTCACCTTATTCCACCGCCGGGCTCCCTTACTTCTCCTCCCCCGCCGACGTCAGCAGAGCACGCATGCGCGGCAGTGCCGCTCGCACATTAAAAGTGTTCATAGGAAAGCACTGAAAAATGCTTTCCTACGGACGCTCTGCGTGATGGTGGCATTAAATGTCCGGAAGACAGCCACTAGAGGCTGGCTTAACCCCAAATGTAAACATAGCAGTTTCTCTGAAACTGCTATGCTTACAGCAGGCAGGGAAAACCCTAGAGGGACCTGGCACTCAGACCACTTCATTGAGCTAAAGTGGTCTGGGTGACTATAGTGTCCCTTTAAAAGGGTGACTATAGTGTCCCTTTAAAATCATGACCAAAGACAAAAAAAAAAAAAAAAGCAAAAAAAAAGCCATGACCTAGCCATGAAGACATGGCTAGGTCAGGAAGCATGTCACTCTCAGATGGGTGCAGACTACAGTAAGTACTCCTTCTTGGTCCAGCAATAGGTCAGAGCACAGCCACTAGTATTCCCAGCCTGCAGTTAGATCTGCTGAATCAAGAAGAAGCAATTACAGTGGTCTGCACTCACCAGAGGTGCAGGCCACACTCACCAGCTGAACTACCAGGGACATTAACTGGCATGTAGAGTTTATTGACCTGTACACCACCAAGCAGAGTTAACCCATAAGGACCACCAGGGATCATAGCGCCCTCTCTGCAGAACGTTTAGCAGGAGGGTGGCAAGACATAGGACATCATTACACACACACTAAACATCTACTACACAGAGTCATCCTACACACACAGAGTCATCCTACACACACACACACACACACACACACACACAGTGTCATCCTACACACACACACACACACACAGTGTCATCCTACACACACACAGTGTCATCCTACACACACGCACACAGTGTCATCCTACACACACACACACAGTGTCATCCTACCACACACACACACACGAGAGTGTCATCCCTACACACACACACACACAGTGTCATCCTACACACACACACACACACAGTGTCATCCTACACACACACACACAGTGTCATCACACACACACACACACACGTTGTCATCCTACACACACACACACACAGTGTCATCCTACACACACGCACAGTGTCATCTACACACACACAGTGTCATCCTACACACACACACACAGTGTCATCCTACACACACACACACAGTGTCATCCTACACACACACACACACACACACACAGTGTCATCCTACACACACACACAGTGTCATCCTACACACACAGTGTCATCCTACACACACACAGTGTCATCCTACACACACACAGTGTCATCCTACACACACAGTGTCATCCTACACACACACACAGTGTCATCCTACACACACAGTGTCATCCCTACACACACACAGTGTCATCCACACACAGTGTGCATCTACACACACACAGTGTCATCTACACACACACACACACACGGTGTCATCCCTGCACACACACAGTGTCATCCTACACACACACACACAGTGTCATCCTACACACACACACACGGTGTCACACACACAGTGTCATCCTACACACACACACAGTGTCATCCTACACACACACACAGTGTCATCCTACACACACACACACAGTGTCATCCTACACACACACACACACACAGTGTCATCCTACACACACACACACACACACAGTGTCATCCTACACACACAGTGTCATCCTACACACACACACACACACACACACAGTCATCCTACACACACAGTTTACTTGCAATCAGAACACAGACCCGGTCAGTGTGTGTTCCACATTGGCTGTGTGTCAGAGCACATGTAGAAGGTCAAGCTGTCATGGCCGCCTGTTGCCATAGTAACAGCCAAGGAGTGCCGCACGCCTGCTCTGTCCATACCTCGCGCACCAGCCGGGATTTTCCCGCCGATTACATGAGGAGATGCTGCGCGGATCCCCCACCAGCACCGCCGGCCGCTCAGTACCCCGCTCCTCACCGCGGCCGCCATTTTCCAGGCACCAGCAACCGGAAACTGTCTGGGGGAAGATTAACAGCATCCGGTGTGCAACACGGGCAGTGCGCCTCACGGTATGATTTATAACGTCTCGCTCGATCGTTATATGGGAGAGAAGCTGCTGCGTCATGATCTGTTTTAACCAACGAAGAGGCGTGAGGCAGGAAGGTGTACGGAGGAAACGGGAACCAAAAGTTATTACACAGAGGGCGGGGGGAAGGGTGAAGGAGCAACCACTTCCGGGTGGTTGCTATGGCAACGAAGATGCTTAGTTATTCAAAGCAGTGTAATAACAACAGAAAAGGATTTTAGTATTATTATTATTATTATTATTATCGCCATTTATATAGTACCAACAGAGTCCGTAGCGCTTTACAATATTGTAAGAGGGGGGATTTAACTATAAATAGGACAATTACTATTATTATTATTATGGCCATTTATATAGCTCCAACAGAGTCCGTAACGCTTTACAATATTGTAAGAGGGGGGATTTAAGGAGCACTAGAGGAAATATATATATATATGTGAATTAGTAGGCAAGAGCTATCGTCTCCTGGATAATAAACAGTTTGTGTGGATTAGAACACCACCATGCTCAGACTGACACTGCCTGAGAATGATAGGGGTTGTAGTCCACAGGAACTTGTGTTCAACAGGTGACAGGGACAGACAAGCTCTGTAATTCTTTCAGAGAGAACTGCTAACATGTTAAACCATGAATACAAGTGGTAGCAGCAAGGTTTTGATTAGCGCTAACCTGGAAGGGGTTAATATTAGGTAGGAAACGCTTTGCTTTTTATATTTTGAAGGCCTCCAGCATCCTATAAAATTGGATGATCAGACTCTCTGTGCTCTCTGCCTGTTGGGTCTCCCAGCAGAGTCTCCCACCTGGGACAAAAATATCCACCAGGACCCCTTTATATGCCGGCGTTAAATATTGTGAAAGAGCAACAATAAGGGCTTGTACGAGACATTCAACAAATAGAAATTAAGTCGATTCCCCAGTCAAAAGGAAGAAGCAATTATAATAGTGCAATACTGTACTAAACACGCTTTCCATTTACTTGTTAGAAGGATCCCAAAGTGATTTAATGTCCTAGGTCAGTGATGGCGAACCTATGGCACGCGTGCCACAGGTGGCACGCTGAGCCCGCTCTGTGGGCATGCGTCCATAGGTCGCTGGACGAGGGAGGGTGCGCTCCGCCGGCGCATCCATAAGGCAGCACAAGTGGCCGCCTTAGGTCGCATCGGCCCGGCGGGCGAAAAACCGGAGTGACCGGCAGGAGGTGAGCGCATAGCAAAGAGCGCTCCCTCCTGCCAGGCACTCTGTCTAGCGTGGCCGACCGCATAGCGATACAGGAACTTATGTTTCCTGTAACCGGGCGGACGGAAATGAAGTGCTCACAGAGAGGGCACCTCCTGTCCGCCGGGTACAGGAAAATGAGCTCCGCGGTGCGCTCGGCCACCCTACAAGGTAGGAGCTCAAGGAGGGGGGAATGAAAACTAAGGGAGGGATGGAGGGGGGAAACTGAGGGAGGCGGGTTGGGAGAAAACCGAGGGAGGCAGGCTGGGGAGGGGGAAAAGGAAACCGAGGGAGGTATGGGGAGGAGAAAACTGAGGGAGGTATGGGGGAGGGGGGTGGGGAGAAGGAAACCGAGGGAGGTATGGTGGGGGGGAAGCAGAAAACTGAGGGAGGTGGGCGGTATATAAAACTGAGAGGCTGGGAGTGGGGGAGAAGGAAACTGAGGGGAGGCATGGGGGAGAAGAAACCGAGGGAGGTATAGGGAGGGGGTGGGCAGCCAAAACCGAGGGAGGCATGGGGGGAGAAAACCGAGGGAGGTATGGGGGAGGGGGGAAAAGGAACCGAGGGAGGTATGGGGAGGGAGAAACTGAGGGAGGCATGGGAGTGGGGGGGGGGGAGAAGGAAACCGGAGGGAGGTATGGTGGGGGAGGAGAAAACTGAGGGAGGTGGCTAGTGAGGGGTGAGAAGAAAACTGAGGGAGGTGTGGCTGGGAGAGAAAACTGAGGGAGGTATGGGAGGGGGGAGAAGGAACCGAGGGATGTACATGGGGGAGGAGAAAACTGAGGGGAGGTATGGGGAGGGGAGAAAACTGAGGGAGGCTGGGAGGGGAGAAAACCGAGGGAGGTGGGGTTGGGGGAGAAACCGAGGGTGGTAAGGGGGGAGGAGGAAAACTGAGGGAGGTGGAAGGGAGGGGAGAAAACTGAGGGAGGTAAGGGGGAGAAAACTGAGGGAGGTATGGGGGGAGAAAACTGAGGGAGGTATGGGGAACTGAGGGAGAGATGGGGAGAACTGAGTGTGGATGGATGAAAATGAGGGAGGGATGGGGAGAAAAGAAAACAGTGGGGAGGGGAGACCACACAGCACCCCTGCCCTGGCTACCATATCACCCCACACAAAAAGACACATACATCACCCCACACACACAATTCCCCCCCACACACCCCACCCCACATCACCCCACACACAAACACACCACCCCAAACACATCACCCCACACACATCACCCTACCCACACACACACATCACCCTACACACAAACACATTGTCAGGGATCCGCGGGCGGCTAGGAGGGGAGGCTGCACACCACTTGCAGCACTCACCCTCAGTCCATCGCAGCCCGCGGTCTCCCCTCTGCTTACCTGTCGGCGAGCGGCGTCTCCTCTGTGCCGCTCGCCGCCCGCGTCCTCCACGCCCCCCAGCGGCAGCATGTATAACGCTGCACGCTGGGAGGTCAATGAATTAAGTAAACACCAGGGTCACGTGAGTGACCCGGCATTAAAGAAACAGTACCACAATCACAGTGGGAGGTATAGATATCCCCCACGTGCGATTGTTAATTCTGATTGGAAGTTATCCAATCAGAATTAAACCAAGGGTATTTATACTTACCTTTCCTGTCCCTCAGTGCCCTGTTGTGGTCTTGTGTTACCTGTAGCGTAGTGTTCTCGTCTTGCTCTCTGGTTACCGATTATTTGGCTTGTTATTCCGATTATCCTGTCTTCTCCACTCCTTTGACCTCGGCTTGTTTCTCGTTCTCCCGTTTTCTGGCTCCCTTTACTTGGCTTGTCTCCTGTCTACTCTTAGCGTGCTTAGCCCGGCCACTCTAAGGTCCGGTACGGCACCTTTTCTGTGTGTGTGTGTGTGTGTGTGCCAGCGTGTTGGGGTCGGCCCCGAATCGTACAACAGGGCCACCATGGAACCTGCTGACATTCCACAGCTGTTAGTAAATCAGGAGGCTAGAATGGATGGTTTAGACCACCGTATGGATCAGTTTGCCCAGGCTTTACAAACCATACTGGCTCGTACTGCCCACTTGCAACCTGCCGTCCAAGAAGCTGTTGCTGCTGTGCCAGAACCCATTCCTGATCCGGGACCCGCTCCTGCTCACGTGGTTCACATGACGCCACCTCAGCGCTATAGCGGTGATCCAGCATTGTGCCGTGGTTTCCTCAACCAAATTGATATTCATTTGGTGATGAATCCTCGTTCCTACCCCACTGACAGAACCAAAATTGCTTTTTTGATTAACCATTTGTCCGGGAAAGCTCTAGCATGGGCTAATCCCATGTGGGAGAATACGTCCCCAATGTCCTTTTCAGCCTTCTTAACAGCTTTTAAACGTACGTTTGACCAACCCGGCCGGGTTGCCTCTGCTGGCAAAGCTCTGCTTAGGGTTCGACAGGGTAATAGGTCTGTAGCGGATTATACCATTTAATTCCGCACTCTGGCAGCTGAAGTGGTCTGGAATAACGACGCTCTCGTAACAGCTTTTCAGGAGGGTTTGGCCGCTTACATATTAGATGAAATAGCATCCAGGGAAATGCCTGTTCTTCTGGATGATTTAATAGATTATGTCATTTTAATTGACAACCGTATCAGAGAGAGGCGTAGTCAAAGAAGGATGAGTACACAGGGGTTACCTGCTTTACCCAGTACTGCATTGCTAGCATTACCTCCCCCTAATCAACCACCTCCCGAACCCATGCAATTAGGTGCTGTAGGCTTATCTGAAGCTGAAAGAACGTACCGCAGAAGGGAGGGTTTGTGCCTTTATTGTGGTAAGAGGGGGCATCTCCGAAGAAACTGTCCTAGTTTGCAGGGAAACTCCAGCACCTAAGGCCTAGAGAGGGGTCGGCCTCGGGTGTTATGGTTTTTTCCCCTCATATGTCCATCTCTAGACCATTTATAACGGTTTCTCTTTTGGTCAATAAAACCACGATAACAACTAAAGCCTTGATCGATTCAGGTGCTGCAGACAGCTTTATGGATGAGAACTTTGCTAAAACCGCAGCCTTGAATCTGATCCAAAAGGCCACACCCTTGGCCTTTGAGGCCATAGATGGTAGACCACTTGATAAACCTCTGGTGACCCATAAAACCCAAGAAATGGTTATGGTCGTGGGTGCCTTACACAAAGAAAGAATAGCCTTCCAAATAATTGACTCCCCTACAGCTTCCATCATTCTGGGTTTTCCCTGGTTAGTTAAGCATAACCCGGTACTCGATTGGGATTCTCTAGATATACTCTCCTGGGGGGTATCTTGTCAACAAGGCTGTATGGCCCGTTTACATCCCGTTTGTTTACTTAATGTGCCTACAGCTAAACCACTTTCTGTTTCTGTCCCTCCTGTGTATGCAGACCTCGCATTGGTCTTTGAAAAGAGGGAAGCTGATAAACTACCCCCACACCGGGATTATGATTGTGCCATAAATTTGTTACCTGGAACAATGCCTCCTAGGGGTAAGGTCTACCCGCTTTCTGAGAAAGAAAACCAGGTCATGGAGGAGTACATACAGGAATCCTTACGTAAAGGTTTTATCAGAAGGTCCTCCTCTCCGGCTGGTGCTGGTTTCTTTTTTGTTGCCAAGAAGGAGGGCGATTTGAGACCATGTATAGACTATAGGGGCCTGAATAATATAACAATTAAAAATGCTTATCCTATCCCTCTCATTACTGAGTTGTTTGACCGTGTTAAAGGTTGTAGATATTTTACTAAACTAGACCTCAGGGGGGCTTACAACTTGGTTCGGATAAAAGAAAATGATGAATGGAAGACAGCGTTCAATACACGCAGTGGGCATTACGAGTACCTAGTCATGCCTTTTGGACTGTGTAATGCTCCTGCTGTCTTTCAGGACTTCATAAATGATGTCCTTAGAGATCTACTGCATGCCTGTGCTGTGGTTTATCTCGATGATATACTCATATTCTCTCCTGATTTGGAGTCACATCATGCCCATGTGAGGAAGGTACTTAAGAGATTGCTACAGAACGGTCTTTATTGTAAATTGGAGAAATGTTTATTTGACCAGAAATCAGTACAATTCCTAGGGTACGTCATTTCTGAACAGGGGTTCAGTATGGATCCTTCTAAATTAGAAGCTATATTGTCTTGGCCTCTCCCTCAAGGTCTTAAGGCAATACAGCGATTTATAGGCTTTGCCAATTATTATCGCAGGTTTATTAAAAACTTTTCATCGGTCATTTCTCCTATCACTAAACTAACTAAAAAGGGTTTGCACCCCAGGGTTTGGACTCCTGAAGCCATTAAAGCCTTCGAAACCCTCAAAAAGGCATTTGCCACTGCTCCTGTGCTACACCATCCCGATCCTTCCCTTTATCATGGAAGTAGACGCTTCAGAATCAGGTATAGGAGCTGTATTATCACAAAGATTATCCTATAACGAACCCCTCCATCCCTGTTGTTACTTTTCTAAAAAACTGTCTGATTCGGAAAATAATTACGACGTCGGGAATAGGGAACTATTAGCTATTGTGATGGCATTTAAAGAGTGGAGGTACTTATTAGAAGGAGCTAGACACAAAATCCTGGTCATAACTGATCATAAGAATCTCTCCTATATAGCTGATGCTAAAAGATTATCCTCTCGTCAAGCCAGATGGTCCTTATTTCTTTCACGCTTTCAGTTCATTATCACATATAGGCCTGGGTACCGTAATGTCAAGGCTGATGCTATCTCCCGACAATACGAACCTTTGGAGTCTATCGCTCCCACTCCTGAACCCATTGTACCCACATCTAAGATAATAGCTGCTACCCGTTTAGTTATTTCGTCTCTTTTCCTTGATGGTATCAAGGCATACCAAACCCAAGCACCCTCTGAGACACCTGTTGGTAGATTATACGTGAAAGAGAAAGATAGAAAGAAATTGTTAGCTTTATTTCACACCGCCAAAACGGCTGGCCACCCAGGGGTTACCAAAACATACAAGGGTCTCCTTCAACAGTTTTGGTGGCCTTCACTTAAGCAAGACGTGGTGGATTATGTGCAGGCTTGTCGTGTTTGTGCACAGTGTAAGTCCCCTAATGTCAAACCCCCGGGACTCCTAATGCCTTTATCCGTACCCAAGAAACCATGGACCCACTTATCCATGGACTTTATTGTGGATCTTCCTTCATCCGATGGAATGACAGTAATTTTGACTGTGACTGATAGATTCTCTAAAATGGCACACTTTATTCCACTTAGGAAACTACCTTCTGCGGTTAAGTTGGCTCAGGTATTTGCCAAAGAGGTTTTCCGCTTGCATGGTATACCACAGGATATCGTATCTGACAGGGGTCCTCAATTTGTCTCGGTTTTGGAGGGGCTTTTGTGCTGAGATGGGGATTTCCTTGTCGTTTACTTCCTCCTATCATCCACAATCTAATGGAGCGGCCGAACGGGCGAATCAATCTGTGGAGTTATATTTACGTTGCTTCACGAATGCACACCAGGACAACTGGTCTCACCTCCTTCCTTGGGCTGAATTCGCCAGGAACACTGTGACTCATTCGTCCACTAGCTTAAGTCCTTTTATGGTTGCTTATGGGTTCCAACCCTCTGTCCTTCCCGGCATGTTCTCCGACAAGGGAATACCCGCTTTGGACGAGCACCTCACCTCCTTACGGAAGATGTGGGATCAGGTCCATGCTACTCTTTCTCGTGCGACTGCTACTCAGAAGAAATTTGCTGATCGTCGTAGGGGTGCTGCTCCCTCTTATGTCCCGGGTGATAGGGTTTGGTTGTCCTCTAAGAATCTCCGCCTCAGGGTCCCCTCAATGAAATTCGCGCCCAGGTTCCTTGGCCCCTATAAGGTATTGCGTAGGGTCAATCCTGTGTCCTACTCCCTGGCCTTGCCTCCTTCCATGCGTATACCGAACACTTTCCACACCTACCTTTTGAAGCCCCTGCTCTGTAATCGATTCTCTGGTCCTCTCAGGCGTCCAGATTCCCTCCGCGCTGTCTCTAATGACGTGTACGAAGTAGCTGCTCTGCTTGATTCTCATTTTTCTCAGGGTCGGTTGCAGTATCTGGTTGATTGGAAGGGTTACGGCCCTGAGGAGCGGTCCTGGGTTTCTGCCTCTAACTTGAATGCGCCCTCTTTGATCCGCTCCTTTCATGCGCGGTTCCCTTCGAAGCCTTCGGCTTCCCGCCCATTGGGCGGGCCTCGAGGGGGGGGTTATGTCAGGGATCCGCCACGTGTGATTGTTAATTCTGATTGGAAGTTATCCAGTCAGAATTAAACCAAGGGTATTTATACTTACCTTTCCTGTCCCTCAGTGCCCTGTTGTGGTCTTGTGTTACCTGTAGCGTAGTGTTCTCGTCTTGCTCTCTGGTTACCGATTATTTGGCTCGTTATTCCGATTATCCTGTCTTCTCCACTCCTTTGACCTCGGCTTGTTTCTCGTTCTCCTGTTTTCTGGCTCCCTTTACTTGGCTTGTCTCCTGACTACTCTTAGCGTGCTTAGCCCGGCCACTCTAAGGTCCGGTACGGCACCTTTTCTATGTGTGTGTGTGTGTGCCAGCGTGTTGGGTTCCCCGAATCGTGACACACATCACCCCACACACAAACACATACACTGTACCCATCAATGCAGTGTGTGTACACTCAGCAGTGTGTGTTTGTGTGTACTCAGCAGTCTGTGTGTGTGTGTGTGTATTTAGCAGTCTGTGTGTGTACTCGGCAGTCTGTGTTTGTGTGTATTTAGCAGTCTGTGTGTGTATTCAGCAGACTGTGTACTCAGCAGTCTGTGTGTGTATTCCGCAGTCTGCTAAATACAGACAGACTGCTAAGTACACAGACAGACTGCTGAGCACACACACAAACTGCTTAATACACACACAGAGATGTTAATTAGTTCGGACAACTGTATGAGTTGTTTTTTCTAAACTTAAACCTCAGTATTCAGGTTTAATTGCCGTTTTGGCACTTTGAGGGAAAAAAAATTGGCATGTATTACAGTTTGGGCATTCGGGCTCAAAAAGGTTCGTCATCACTCTCCTAGGTGCTCGTGTCTTAATTCCCGAGATCCACAAAGTGGCACATGTTAAAAATACACAGCACTCTAAAGACTCACAGAAAAAATAAAACAAAGCATTCCTTACGGTAGCGATTTATTTAAAATAATGCATACATAACATGATCCAACCAAAAAAGAAGCAAAGACAAACACATCAGGAAGCATGCACCGGATAGAGGAGGGTAAAAGAGATCACTGTAACAATTAGAAATGTGTGTGCGCTTACACTCAATAGTAAAATAAACAATAGTAGCAGCTACCACTGAAAATAGGGACTCTCTTCCCTATAAATCAATTCAAAAACCAGGTGTACACACAGTGTAGGAGATTAATAATAAAGATCACCACTGGTGTGCATGTGGAGCGCTTAAATATATACAGACTCACCCATATGGGTTGACATATATATGTATGAGGAACGTATCACACAACAGTTTATCTGAAACAGATATATGTGCAAATAGTGCAAATAACGTTTGTGATAAATCCAGTGAGTGAATGTTCTATATGGTCTCACTCACATGTAACAGAGCCCTATAGGATAGGCTCAGATCTCAACGGCTTGCGTGTGCTTATGGTGACACGGTACCCAATCTATGCTTTAATCGTCAGAAGATCCTTATGCATACATAAGAGGAAGAAAAGGGGAAGCAAAGAGCCCCTAGATACCAGTACTCAGTGCCTAATATGAAGAAAATTGGCTTCTCACCTGATAAGGCGCCCAATACCTGGCTCTTGGTGTGTTAGTATCTGTGCCTTTAAAGAGGCTACAACCCCTCTTTAAGCAGCAAAATGGAAGATGGATTCCAAATATAAAACAAAATTTATTTAATAAGTACCATATATACTCGAGTATAAGCCGAGTTTTTCAGCACACTTTTTGTGCTGAAAAACCCCAACTCGGCTTATACTCGAGTCAGCGTCTGTATTATGGCAATTTACATTGCCATAATACAGACTGGGGTCTGGCAGAGCTGTAACTTACCTCTCCTGCAGCTCCTGTCAGCTCTCTCCTCCTCCGCGCCGGTCCGTGCAGCACCTCGGTCAGCTCCCAGTGTAAGTCTCGCGAGAGCCGCGGGGTCATAGTGCGGCTCTCGCGAGACTTACAGTGTGAGCTGAGAGAAGAGCTGCACGGACCGGCGCGGAGGAGGAGAGAGCTGACAGGAGCTGCAGGAGAGGTAAGTAACAGCTCTGCCAGCCCCCCTCCTCCCCCCACTGAACTGCCAATGCCACTGGACCACCAGGGAAGGAGAGCCCCCCTCCCTACCATGTATCAAGCAGGGAGGGGGGACAACAAAATAAATAAATTAATAATAAAAAATAATAATAAAAATAATAATAAACAAAATAATAATATAACAAAAAAATGAACTAAAAACTAAATAAAATAATACATAAATAATAATAAAAAAAATAAAAATAATAATAAAAAAATTATTAAAAAAATAATAATATAACAAAAAAAAATGTAAATAATAATAATTTTTTTTTTATAAAAATGCCCACCCCCCACCAAGGCTCTGCAACACAAACACACACTGCATCACACACACTGCATCACACACACTGCATCATACACACACTGCATTCATACACACACTGCATCACACACACACTGCATTCATACACACACACTGCATTCATACACACACACATTGCATCACACACATTGCATTCATACACACACACACACACACACTGCACTCATACACACATACACTGCATTCATACACACACACTGCATTCATACACACACTGCATTCATACACACATACACTGCACTCATACACACACACTGCACTCATACACACACACTGCATTCATACACACACACTGCGCACTCATATACACACTGCATTTATACACACACTGCGCACTCATACACACACACTGCATTCATCATATACACACACTGTAAATAAATATTCAATTAATATAATTTTTTTAGGATCTAATTTTATTTAGAAATTTACCAGTAGCTGCTGCATTTCCCACCCTAGACTTATACTCGAGTCAATAAGTTTTCCCAGTTTTTTGGGGTAAAATTAGGGGCCTCGGCTTATATTCGGGTCGGCTTATACTCGAGTATATACGGTAAATTAAAACTTACAAAAAATAAACAAATGAATATATAAAATTTGAAGTAGAATCTCCAGTCTTCCTGCCGAGACGCGTTTCGCTGTACTGTGACAGCTTTCTCAGTCGGTGATGTGTTTGTTGTTTAAATATCATGCTCTTCCTCCTGTTTGGTCATTCAATTATCTCCTCCTCCAATCCGCTCTCAGAGCTGCCCTGCTCATTGTAAACAGATTAGTGGAATGGCGATGGGCATGAGGTTCGTGCCAAGCTATGCCAATTTATTTATGGCATCATGGGAACGAGAATTTGTCTACCAGGAGGGTGGATGGGGCGCGAACCTCGTTGCCTATCGCCGTTACATTGACGATATATTCTTTATTTGGCAAGGAAATGAAGCATCCCTGATATATTTTCTGTTTCATTTGAATAACAACGATTAGGGGATAAAGTTAGTTTCTAATTACAGCAAGACCTTAGTGGAGTTTTTAGACCCCCAGATTTATGTGGAAGATGCACAATTGAAAACATGCACCTTCTTTAAACCAGTGGATGTTAACAGCTATATTGGGGAGAATAGCTGTCACATCTCCCCATGGCTGTTAAATGCAACCAAAGCGCAATTACTCAGGATAAGGAGGAATTGCACGGAGGAGTTAAAATTTCAGGAACAATCCCACAAAATCATGGAAGACTTTTGGGAGAAGGGATATAAAGAAATATTGTTGGAAAAAGCCCTTGAAGAGGTTACAATAAAAGATAGAAAGGATTTGATTAAATATAACACTAAAAATAAGGGAGAACCACAAACAATAGGACTAATATGTGATTTTAATTGTAAAAGTAAAGAGTTTAGAAAAATAGTCTCTAAATACTGGCCAATTTTAAGAAATTATCCTCTCCTTAATAGCTTCCTCCCGGAGAAACCAAAGGTTGTGTATAGTGGGGTAAAAAACTGAAGAAACACCTTAACATTTAATCATATACCTCCCAAAAGGTACAATAGAGATTTTTTTAATGAGACAAAAGGATTTTATGGCTGCGCATGGAAGAACTCAAAAAGCAAGAAAAGACTAATAAAGGAATTCCCACACCCTCAGAATAAAAAAGTTATGTTTAAGATAAATGAGTTAATCACATGTCAATCCACGAGAGTTATCTACCTCCTGACATGTCCATGCGGACTTGTCTATGTAGGACGAACTAAAAGGAACCTACGCATTAGAATACAAGAACACATTAGGAACATTAGAAATAGTTTTGAAAAGCATAGTGTCTCCCTGCATTTTAAAAATAAACATAATAGTGATCCCACCCAGTTAGAATTCCATGCGATACAGAGGATATTACCTGATTGGAGGGGGGGTGATTTTATTAAGAAAATTGGTCAAAGGGACATGCAATGGATATTTAATTTAAATACTATGCAGCCCAATGGTCTTAATGATGATTTCGAGCTATGTCACTGTAGCGGATGGCACTGGGCTGTCCTGCAAATGTCTTATGAATGACTGCATTCATGTAAATTGCTGGGTTTTTGTATGTGTTTTAAA